ATTGAGATTGACGCGTAAGGTAAAAGTCGTTCGATATTTTAAAAGCACGAATTGGATCTTTACTTAACTAGAATACGGTACACTACCACGATTACTAAGTGGAAAATAACACTTAGGAGTTGAATCTATAAGCATACATCGGGTAAAAGACCTTCCAGAGTGGATTAATAATTGGATGAACAAAAAGCGTTCAATTATTATAAATCGCTGTTGCTCTAAAATTGCGATGACTGATTCTAAATTGTTCGAGATGGCCACATATAAGAGGGAATACTTTAATATAAACAAAGGAGTTAAAGAAGAATTAGTGGTGAAGATCAGAATGTGCACAAAGGAATACGGATAGAAATAACTCGATAATTGAATACGTATTGTAAATTATTTATGTATAATCAAACAAGTATTTAAAGACTTGCCTTTCATCTCTTCATATACACTAGCCGTTGCATCTTTCTAAAAAGGCAAATCACATATAAAGCCTCCTGATAAAGCTGGTATTTAGTCAACTTTAAGTGTTCAACGCCAATCATTTATTTTTTATCAACGCTTAGCTATATCGGACCGATTTAGAGGTGGTTTGAGTTTAACAGTACTTACATACCAGATTCTATCGCTGTTGAATTTTATCAATATATTTGATACCTGTTTAAATTGAAATGGGCTCAAGTCAGTCAACTATTAATTCCTTTGACTTATCAAATAAAGTCATTATTATTACCGGTTCTACTGATGGTTTGTATCTTTTATCAAACGAAAATTTCTCATAATTATTGTAATAACCATTCTTTGTCTTTTTTGTTTTCTTTTAGGAATTGGTAAAAGTTTGGCTCGAATAATCTCATCATATAATCCAAAACGCTTAATACTTCCAATTCGTAACAGAAAAAAAGGTGAACATCTCCTTGAGTATATCAAAGAATCTAAAGATGGGAATGGTGAATGTATTGAATTATGGGATATGGATTTGGCGGATTTACATAGTGTAAAGAATTTCGCTGATAAGTTTATTAAAGAGGTTGGAGAATTACACTACTTATGGAATAATGCTGGTGCGTATAATAGAATATCAGCTGCACTTTATTGTCTTTTTTAGTATTTAATTGTAAATGAAAAATAGGTATCACTTGTACTGGATTTGAGAAAACAAAAGACAATTTTGAACAACAATTCCAAGTAAAATTTATTTTAAAAACTTAATCACTTTTTGCTCCTTAACAGGTTCTTAATATTTTTAATAATGCTTTTAAACAAGGTTAATCATCTTTCTCACTTTCTCCTGACTTCCCTTCTGCTTCCGATCATAAAAAATTCGGCAACACTGGAATCTCATTGTAAAATAATTCACACAAGTTCAAAATCACAAGTGTTTGGAAAAATTGATTTTGATAACCTTAATGGTGAAAAATCTTATAGCGGCTTTCTTGAATTATATTCAAACTCAAA